AGGAAGAATCAGGAGTGATCATGTCTTCACATTAAATCTCCAATGGCAAAAAATGACAACCTCCCACGTACAACCTTATGAATGCAACATAGAGTTGTTTCTTTTAAATGATTATATTTAAAAGTCCTTGAGACATCTCTCTCAACAAATCGAACTGTCTCTAAATAAAGGGAAATTGAAATGTTTTGTACCTGGGTAGTAATATGAATTCTAACACACACAGAGGATAAAGACAAATTACTATTAGCAAGGCAAATGAAGAAATAAAAATAAGTGTCTTTTAATGTAATGTTGCTTTCAGAACATTATTTTGTAATCATTGTAGTCATGAAAAACTATTTGTTGAGCATGCAGGGATAGGAAAAGATCTGGGCTTAGAAAGTCTTCATTCTGTTTTTTTGGTTTTTGTTTTGTTTGGGGTTTTGTGTGTGTGTGTGTGTGTGTGTGTGTGTGTGTGTGGTACCAGGGATCAAACTCAGGGCCTTGCACTTGCCAGGCAGGTGTGGTGCCACTGAGCCACATCCCCAGTCCTGGGAAAATCTTCATTCTTGACTATTTCTTGTTGCTGAGTACCTTTCCCTCCCAGGGAGCAGGTGGACATAGCAGACAGGCTCTTTGTGCATCAAATTCAAGTGTAGACTCCTCCCCAAATTAGATTCTGTACAGGGGGTCCTCTGTACCTTCCAGTTCTGATTTGTGGGTTCAGTATCCTTGGATTCGATCACCCTTGAATCTAAAATATTAAGGGGGAAAATGCATCTGTACCTAACATGTAGAGATGTTTTTCTTGTCATTATTCCCTAAAAATATAGAATTACAATAAATCCCGTAGCATTCTAATAGTTATTGTAAATAATCCAAAGACAATTTAAAGTGTATAACATGTGCATAAGTTGCATACTGCGCCATTTTGGACGAAGGACTTGGGCATCTGTAATCTGTCTGGGTCAGGGTCCTGGAGCTGATCCCCTGGAGACCCAAGAGCCGACTGCCAGGTGTGCCTGGCTGACACCGTGCTCTGATGAAGATGTGCTCTCCTCTTTCTGCTCTGAGAACAGGACCCTGGGCACAGGCAGTTCGTGGTATTCATTTCAGGGAAGAACGCTGGAACTTAATATACTTAAGAAGGGAATAGGAAGAGGAAAATAATATCCAGTTTCTAGCATACAAAACAGGATCATACCAGAATCCAGATTATTTTCCAAGCAGCTCATTTCTCCCCTCTTTGCAACCAAACCCACAGGGCTCTTTCCCACGCGCTGTTTGCTTATTATATGTGAGCATTCCCACTTTGTGGAAGGAGGATGTTACACTAGGGCAAGTAAAAGAACAGCTTACTGCTTTGTAATCTTGGGGAACTGCAGAAATTAAAGGCAGAGCAACAGTCAATCAAACATGTATTCCGATTTCCCCTTTCAGCCAGCTGTATTAAATCCATGGCTTTCAAACTCTAATTTGCTCCACATCGCCCAGAGTGCTTGTTAAAACACAGTTGTTAGGCCCCGCTGCAAGAATTTCTCTGAAGTCTGGTGTAGGACTTGGAGGCCTGAAGAGTTCCCAGCCATGGCCAGTACTGACCGCACTCTGACAGCCACTGTGTCACCCACATCAAAGTGCGACCAAGGGCAAAGGCGTCTCTGTGCTTGACTTCGTGTAGTGCCCAGGAAAGACTCGGTCTCTGCATCTGAACCCCACCCCAGCTGTAAGCAGCCAGATCCCCCCAGCTCGCACTGTGCCCCTGGGGGACAGCTAAGCCACATAATCCTCCTTATGCCCAGATTCTTCTTTTACAGGACAAACACAGACTGAGGGGGACATCTCAGAGAGTGACCGTTCTTTTCCTAGGCAGACTTAGCATGGGGTAAAGGCTGTTTATTTTCTGAATCTAACTACTCTTCCACCATATGGATGCCTGGTCAGGCTTGCTGCTCCTCGGGGTCCTTTGCAATAACTGTGGCAGGCTTGGCGTGGCTTCTGCAACCCTTGCGCCTTTCTCACAGACGGGTGTGAAGCCAGCTGACATGGTGGAGAGCCACCTTCAGCTCTGAGGCAACGAAGGCCCCACCTTCAAGGCTAGTACAGTAAAGCCACCAGACAGAAGGTGGCCCAGCTCCAGACTTTGTCAAGCACAGCACCCTGACAGGTCTTGACATGGTACTTGTTTGAGTCATTGTACATTTGATACAATGTCTGACCTGCGTCGCGTCCATTATAAATGGATGGGCAGTGTGAGGGTCACACAGAAGTTCAGGGCAGTCCTCGGGGCGGCGAATCCTCTGCACCCAAAGCTAGCAATTCATCCCTCTAGCTTTGGCTGGGTCAGTTATTTAACGTTTCACTTTCTTCCCAACTCCAATCCTTCTTTTTATTTATTTTTTTGTTTTGTTTTTGTTTTGGTCCAGGGATCCAACTCGGGTCCTTGTGCTTGAGAGGCAAGCAGCAGAACCACTGAGCCAAATTCCTGGCCCTCCAATCCTTCTTTCTTTACTGTTCTTTTCTATCTTTACTGGACTTATTCAGGCCTAGTGATCTGTGATTTCTCCTTGTTTTATTAACATTTCTTCTACAGCTACTGTACAGTTGTTATGAATGGCTCAGGAATTTTTTTACATTCTTAATACTTTTGAATATCTCCAAAAATAAATAATCAGAAGAGAACACTTCTTTAAGTTGTCATTACCAACACTTTCACTTCTTAGGCAAACCTTTATGGAGAAACAGGTATGATACGATTAAAATAATAATGTAAAAATTATATCCTGCCAAATCTTGGGGTAATATACCTTAGAATAAATAAACAAATAAATGTGTGTATATGTATACTTAACAGAGGCACAGATAATTCATATCTAATAAAAATTCTATGTAATAGATGATATTGTTAAATCCTTATTCATTTAATAGTCAAATATTTTAATCAAACTGATCTCTTTGTAAATTCAGTATGCATTCATATTGTGTTAAATAATCTAAAAATTTATTTTGTTTCCAAAATAAAGGACAATTTGTAATAAAAATGACTTCTCAGGCATGGCACTCAGAATGTAGGATACTATATAAATGTTAAGGTTCAGTCCTGAGCAAGTACCAGTTGTGAAATAACTTTGTTTATTTGTAGAAGTCACAAACCTTTAGAATATAAATTACTCAAAGCAAAAAGTAGGTACCCTGAACTTCTTTCTGAACTATCACATCATTGATTTGCTTTGGCAAAGACAAAATTCAAAAAGCAAATAAGTATCATAGCTTCTCTTCTCCAGAGCCCATTTGTGTAATAGGATTTTGCTCCTCCTCCAAAGCGCCAATATAACTGGGCAGCGCTCTTCCGAAAAACAAACAAATATACTTTTAAAAGTAAAACAAGTGTTCACATCATCACCAATATAAAATTACAAAAACATGGCAAATTTTACTTAAAACACTTTAGAGAGCTTTAAATACAGTTTCAGAAGAACAAAATAAGTGTATTATTCTATTAAGCTTGGGTGCTTTGGGAAACCACCAAACAATCATTTCATCACCCTGGGCAGCTAATGATTATAGAGATGTCACAGCCATGGCATGCCAGAGAACAAAACAGTGGACCTTTGCCACCAGCTACGCGAGTGCAGCAGTAAGCAGAAGCCAGGAGAGCCTTTGTGAGTTACAGGGCATGTCACACAGGCATGTACACAATCGTGGTGATAGCAGGGCCCAAAGGAAGCTGTAAGTCAAGAACCAAGAGTCTACAAGTGAAGCACTGGCTGACAGCCCTGCCCCGTAGTCATCGGTGTGGACACGCTTGCAGCATGAATATTGTGAGTTAGCTGCGGGTCATCAGCACCACCCATCTTCCCACCACCCCAGCTGTCTCCAGACACTCAGTTCCCCCACTGTCCATGAGGTGGGACTTCCAGAGGAAAGCCAGCCTGGTTATAATTCAAACCCCAGTACCAAAAAAAAAAAAGTAGCACCTTCATATAGCTTAGTAGAGGACACAGTAATCCCTATGAGTGCTTAAGGTGAATGTTCAGGACTGTAGGAAAATGAGTTAGAGAAGTAGTTGGGGCTAGAGCAAGAAGAGTCTTTAATTACTTTCAACTTCATGATGAAGACAATTTATAAAAAGATCTTGGACAAGTAGCCAAACAATATATATTTGAATGTTTAAAGGATTTCAAATTTAATAGAAAAAGATTTGTCATTTTCAGGGCCACAAGAAAAAATATGTAATCATTATCATTATGTAATGATAATAATAATCATTATGTAATTATAATATTCATTGTTAACATAAATTTGGAGACTCAGAATGTCCCATATGATCCTGGGTATTCAAGTCAGAATAATGTTTGTGGAAGGTAATTTGAACACTCTTTGACCAAGCATTTCAGTGTATTCAGGACTTTTATGCAAGGAAATATCATGGATATTAAGAAAGACGTTTAGCTACCAGACTATCCTTAATGTCTAACAATAGGGACTTGGTTAAGTACATTGTGAATCATCCTTGCTGCTTTAAATATGTAAATGAACATTTAATGACATTTATGAAATTTTATTACATGAAAAAACTAGGTTATAAGATAGCAGGCACATTAGTCAGGGCCCTTAAGAATAAGGCCAGACAGCCTAAGTTTGACTTTCAGAGCCACCTCTTAGTTATGTGAACATGGCCAACTACCCTCATCTTTCTGCAACTCGGTTTTGTGCTCCGTAAAATAGGGATAGTTACCAGTCCCTAGCTCCTAGGGCTGTTGTAAAAGTGACTCAGCTAACACACATAAGGCATTCAGAGATTGCTCTGGCACAGAGAATGCACATTGTGAATAGCATTGGTATTTGCTGCTAGCACATTAAGTCAACTGTTAAGCTAATTTAAGCAGCAAAGGTGGGAAGGGAATCAACCAGGCAGGACCACACCCGACTCACTCCACAAAGCCAGCCCTGTGATGTCACCGCCCAGCTGCCAGGCGCTGACCCTGTGGCTTACACTGCTGAGTCCCTGGGCTCAGAACCTTGCTCACTGCCGCAGAACAGCTGTCTCTCCTGCCCGGGAAACCGGATGCAGCTGCCACGGCTGATTGCCCTGGCCAGAGTGGACTCTGCGTCATCCTGCTGCTTTGAGTCACCAGCTCCTGAATCCAAGTCCAGGGAGGATGCATCTGTTCTGCTGCTCCAAGTGCCCCTCACTAGGTTGCAAAGGACCTGAAAAAAAGCAGTGAGCATTTTCATTACAGAAAAAGAGGACAGATTCTACTTTATCAGAAACACAAACTTAAGGATCAAATTTATCTACTGGGCAACAAGAACAACAACAACAAAAGGACAGAAACAACCCCTTTACATTTAAAAAAATACAAACATAACCAGAATACGTATTTGCATGTAAAGAAAAAGTAAGTATATTCATTAACATGTTCATGGTCAATTATGAGTCGACCATGATGCTGATTTGAATGTTTCAACTTCCTTCTATAAAGATCTGAACTTTCCAAAGTATAGAAAAGCCTTTTCTTATTTAGAGCAATACAAGGTGATATCAGGTCCCTATTGTTGAAAGAGAAGTGAATGGCTATGCTCAGATGGCTGTGGTTAGCCTGGAGCCCTTGCTACTCAAGGTAAAACCAACAGACCAGCAGCACAGGCTGACTGCAGAGCCCTTTGGAAAGGAGGAACCCCAGGTCTCCTCCAATCCCACTCCTGAAAGCTAAGCAATACTAAGAATATACTACAGCAGGAGAACCCGATCAGAGGCTGTTGTTGATACCAATCAATGCAGACTTGGACCAGCACCTTTGGCAGTTTCATCTGTTTTCAGATAGCTACTTTTTTTTTGGCTTTTCTTTGGTATATCCTACTAAAGTAGAATGGAAAGGATACGAGATTGTATGTGTAGCAGAGAAAGAAGTAATAACTCTCCATTCTTTCAGCTATATAATTCTATGTATATTCACATTTATCTTTAGCCACATAGAATTTTTAAAAATAAGCGATTTGAATGTTTTCTATGTTTAAATACTTCTAAATTATTACAGCTTTAAGGAAATGTTTTTTAAAACCCCTTAAGCCATTATATTCATTATGTTAATAAATTCATATTTAGGCCAAGGTGAGTAACAATAAAAGAACCTGATAATTTATTTTAAAGACATGAGCAATAGTTTTGAAAATAATGACTAGTTCTGAGAGGTGTAATTGTAAGTCTTCCACTCTCTCAATGCTATAATTAAAACAAAAATGAAAGTAAGTCTAGAGAGCATACACACGGACCTGAGTCACATCGGAACGTATAATTTGCTTTTTCTATGTATCAGAGACCAAAGTCTCCACTTATCTGCTAAAGATCAAAAGCATAAACTAATTATTTTTTTTTTAATTTTAAAAGACATAAGCAACCAAGTCGAGGGAAATGTTGATTTGGGGAAAAGAACTGGGACACTACACCAGTACTACCCTAGTCCGCAGAGCACTTTCCTGTTTGCAAAGCACTCTGACTACTTTGATCTCATTTGAACCTCACTCAGTTGCACTCATGTCACTATTTCAAATTTATAGCTGAAAAAGCCCAGGCTCCGGAAGTAAGGGCAGGAGGGTGGTCCAAGGTCGCCCACCTAACAAGCTGGTGCCAGGGCAGAAACATCACCCTCACTTCCTAGTCCCCGGCTTTTTGCCCTATACCAATTTATGCCCTTTTCTGGATATACAATGGAAGGGAAATGTTTTTTGCTCTGTGGGAATTATCAAGACCAAAGGTAGGAGGCAGTGACTATGGAAAGACACCAGTGTGGGACTAATGCTCTTACGGTATATACTGCTATCTCTATTGAATGTCGGAACAAAAAACAGAGGTTTATTCCAAGTCAGTGGGTGGTTTGCCAGGCAGCTTCCTGTGGTCCTGCTGTCCACTCCCCTTTGTGGACCACTTGATCACCTGGCCTGTCCTCTGTCACTTCCACCATGGGGTGGGCAGGGCAGGAAGAAGAGCACTTGTAATTGGTTTGATTAAAAAGTTGAAAGAAGAAAACTTAGGCCATTATCTTTATTTAGACTTTGGGGTCTCGCTAGATGTCTTGGTCACTTTCTCATCACTGAGACAAAACCCAACACTGCAATGTGAAGGGGAGGTTTATTTAGCTCAGCTTTCAATCCACAGTCTCTGGCTCTCAAGAAGAAACAAGATGGCAGAAGTGTGAGACGGAGAAGAGGTTGCTCACCTCACGGGGGTCAGTAAGCAGAAGGTGTCAAACAAGGAGCGACAAACTGAGCTACATCCTTCCAGGTCTGCCCCTAGTGACCTCTTTTTCTTACCGGACCCCCACCTCCTAACAGCAACCCAGGTATCACGGCCCTAACATCCAGTCACCGTCCAAACCCAAGAGGCCATGTTAGATCTACCCCATACTCAAAGTCAGTTTTCAGTGTGAGCTCTGCCATCGTTCTCCTAGATAAACCTAGAGCAAATGACGGTACACTATGATTGCAGGACAGGAAAAGGGTTTCTGTATGCTTCTGTCGATTTCCATGGCTGGTTTTTCCAAATGGTAAATATGAAACGTTAAATCTTTTTAAAATGAACCCTGAAAGGCATGTGGGAAAGTAGATGGACAATGAACAAGAACGGACAGTTCACAGAAGGGGAGAGAACTGGCAGGAAGCATGAGGGAAGGGTTCCCTTCATTAGCAATTAAAGAAAGAAAGTGCTTGAAACCAGGAACTGCCACCTTTCATTATCGAATTAATGAACAGCAAGAATCGGAATGATTGCTAACAGTGTGCTGAGGGTTTTTTAGTGGAAAGGTACCATCTTTCTAACTTTTTGTGGGGGGGTAATGGGGATGGAACTCGAGACCTTGAGCTTGTGAGGCAGGTGGTGGCACCACTGAGCTAAATCCCCCACCCCGGTACCCTCTTTCTAGAGAGAAATCTAACCATATAGAATGATTATTCCTGGCAAAAGAAAATCTGTCATTTTCTACTACCTAAGTTGGAACTAAAATCTGCTTGAGTTTCCTCTACTAAGCAAGCCTTTTCCCCAAGAATGCAGATATATAATAGAACAAAAGGAAGTTTTTTTGCCTCCTCCTGTCCTCAGCCACCTCTGACTCCTCAGACCCAGTGGGAGGGGACAAGGGTCCTGCCCCAGGGGACAGCATGCCTGGGAGGCCAATGCAGAGTGTATACTGACAGCAGAGGTCATTGGGAGCCTCTGGGTACCTGAGGGTCACCCAACACCAACAGCACCCTTGTAGAGCAGGCTGCAGTGGGAGAGCCAGGTGCTCGGAGGGTGGACCGATCCACGTTTCTGCCCGGGGTCTCCTCAACAATGCCCAGCACACACCTTCACATTCCACTGCTCATGGTGGTCTAACCTCTGATGGGTTAAGCAACTGCACTAAAATAGAGCTGTTTGATCCTTCTTGTAATTTGAAGCTTACTGTTTTCAGATAAGAGACAGTCATGTAGCAAAAGAAAAAAGAAAGAGAGAGTTTTATTCTCAATTCGTTTAGATGGTCTAGGCTCCACAAAAAGATTTTTTTTTTCTAAATTTTGATAACTATATATTCATTGTAATTTTCTATAGGGAAAAACCGAGAAGAACCCAAATGACCAACCAAGAGTGCACTAGGGGTCATTGCCAGGGGCAAAGGGAAGTTGTTTAAGAACAGTTTTCAGTTTTGCAAGATGAAGTCCTAGAGCTCTGTTGCACAAGGTGCGTGAAGATATCACTGTTGCGCTGTGCGTGTAAGCTGGTAAAGACGGTCCGGGAGAGGGGTGTGCACCCGTTTGGCAAACACGGGAAACGCGCGTCCCGCGCCAGGAAGTTCACTTACAGAACACAGTGATAGACAAGCGCATTCCACCCTGTGTTCCCTACCTAGTGCAGATGGGAAACGGACCCGACGCAGGGAGCAGCTGTTTGAGCGCCCTAAAATTGAGATGGAGTCAGTCTCCGGCCCAAAAACATTAGTTCGTGCGCAGCACCGAATGATGGTGATTTGGATGGTGGTGACAGGGGTGATGATGATGGCGATGCTGTTTAAATTTGAAATAACGCAACACGAACCACAGCAAGCAGGTAGCTGGGAGAGAAGCCCAGCATGGGAAGCCCGGAGTTTCTTAGGTCCTTTCCCTCTCAGCCCTCCGGCCTGGGCCCCAGGCCACCTGGATGGAGCCAGGCAGGGACAGAGAGCCCTCCAGGTGAACAAAATCTTCTTGCCTGGGGGCAAGAAAGGAGATCCCAGGGGCTCAGAATTTTTAAAAATAAATAAATAAAAAGCAAGAGAAAGCATGTATTTCCTTCTTTCTTTTCTCCTCTCCCAGGCTCCCAGGAGCAGCAGTCTGGGCAGCCAGCTGTGAGGCAGGAGCAGGGAGCCCCGGGCCCTCAGGCCTGAGGATCAGAGAGCCCCTGAGAAGCGAAGCCAGTCTGGGGGTGCGGGGAAGGCAGTGGGCCTGACGTGGAGGCCCGGGTGGACCCTAACATGGGGGGGAGATTAAGCCTAGAGCCATGAGAGGTCTGCACACCCGTGGATTTCTGAATCACCCGCCTTTGGAAACCATTTTGGCTACACACACTTGATGTTTTCTCCTAACCCCTGAACGATCGCGAATTTCTGAGATTTGCCCGCAGTGTTCTTTAGTACAGTCTGCTGCCCTGAAGAAGTAGATGAGGACGCTTCTGAAGGTGGAGGCTGCGGAAAGGAAAGGGAAAGAGGATTTCATTGGATTCTAGGACCCAAGGCCAGGCTGCTGAGCCAGAGCTCTTTATGTCTGGCTTGAGCACTGCCTAAAATAATTTGAAAAACTTTAGATTCCCTCACATTTTAAAATTTCCATCTAAACTTTTTCATCATAAACTTAATAAAGGATGTGTTTTCTAGTGTATTATAACTTTTCACATATTTAAAATTAAACTACTAGATCACACAAGCATAATCAAGAGAATGTAACTACTGTAGAAACGTGACACCATTATTTTTAAAATATATTTTTAAAACTTTATCATCAGAAATTATACCTCATTTCCTTTTTTCCTTGAACTCATATTTCCATTCCACTTTCCCACCAAAGTGTTACCCTACTGTGCCATATTTTGATCCTTGAAAATACTTTGTTGATCACTTTACCATAATTATTTGCAGTAAGATCTGCCCATTAATTGAAATATTTCCTGACTCTATAGTGCTATGAGTTTTTCTTTCATCTGCAGATATTATAATAGTCATTAAATGGAAAAAATGGATCAACACACGTAGCATATTTAAATAACATAGATATATAAGATTAAGGTTTTCCTAGGCATGGTTGTACACCCTTGTAGTCCCAGCACTCTGGGAGGCTGCAGCAGGAGGATCGCAAGTTCAAGCTGAACATGGATAACTTAGTGACTTAGTGAGACCCTGTCTCAAAATTTAAAATAATTTAAAGAGAGGAGGAGTAGGTTGGAGATATAGCTCAATGCGAAGGCGTTAGGTTCAATCCTCAGTACAGAAAAAAAGATTTCATGGTAAATACGTCTTATAATGAGAGAGCTAGGCCTTTTTTCAACTAGCTTATATATCCGTCAGTTAATATTAATCATTGTTACAATTAGACATCCATTTTATTCCCTTTTTAAATGTAAGCTCTGAAAAAAGTATTCACACCAACGTGTAGATGAAACGGGGACAAGTTTTATTACAGTGTTGTCCTGCAATTACTTGAACACCTTTAGAGTTATAGGAGTAAAATCACACAGTACTGTACATCAAAACTTCAGTGCCGATGAATCACTAGCTGACCACTCAATTAAACTTCCTCCTTTCATTCTGTCAAAAAAAACCAAAAAAAACAAAACTGAAACCTCCTGCGTTGCTAAATACCTTACACCCAGTTGTTATTATTCCCCCCTCAGAACCCACAGCAATAATTTGAATTCTATTTTTGCCTAGTGCTTCAGCTCCTCCCACCCCAGGCAATTCACTGCTGAACACCTTGAGTCCTAGTGTGGGTGGAGGAAGAAGGCAGATTCAGAGAAAGGTGAGAACCGTGCAAAGGTACGGAGGTGGTCAGACCAGGGAGGCTGAGTCGGGTGAACCTCTCTCCAGCCCTCAAGCTTAGAAAGCTAGGTGCACTCATGAAGGGTTTAGCCAGCTTTTCCTCCCTTGCATTCTCCCTGACCAAAGGGAGGGGGAGAGAAAGAGAGAAGGAGACGGGGGAGGGGAAGGAGAGAGGGAGGGAAGGAGGGAAAGTCGGGAGGAGACGGGAGAGAGCAAAGGAAAGAAAAGGAAGAGAGAAGGAGAAAAGAAGGAAGGGCAAGCGCAGGGAAAAATAGATGCAAGAATATTTTGGAAAGGTTGTAGGAGAAATGAGTCTGGTCCTTAAGAATAAGCAACATTCTCCCAGCGACTGGCTGGTGCGCCGGAGGGAGGAACACGCCCATGGGTGGGAGGAGCGGGAGGGCAGGAGTGCAGATCTGACCATCAGTCTCCATGACAGCGGAGGCCTGCGGGGAAGCTCTCCTTCCGGGGCCAGCGCCTGGGACCGCACTGCGTTCATTCAACGCACATGAGGGGGCTGGGGGCTTTCTAAGGTGACATCTGCGCCAGGCCCGGGTGCAAGACCTGCACCCCTCTTTACTTCTTGCTGACAGAGAGCTCACAGCAGCTCCTCAGGCCCAGGCTCTTTGATGAGGTTGTCTAGCCAGCCCTATCCGCCTTGCTTTGCAGTCCTGAGATTCCTCCTGTGTCCCTGTTCCCTATCCGACCATCCACCAAGTAATCCAAGCCTCCTTTCCCATGCACCACTTGCTCCGCTCTTTCTAATGCACGGTGCTGTGCCATGTGGAAGTGTGAATGGGTTACACAGATCCCCAAGATTTTTACTTCTGGGAGCTGGGGAAGTGGCTCAGGGATAGAGCACTTGCCTAGCACGCATAGGACCTTGAGCTCTAACCTAGCCACACACACACACACACACACACACACACACACCAAAAGACAAAGGAGCTCTTTCTCCTCTTAGTAATCCAGAGATGAGGGCTAAGACCTAGGCATTGGGAGACATAATCTGGACAGTCCTGGGCAGTGATGCACAAATATCGATATATTTTTGTATGCACTCCAACGTCAAGTACATTCAGAAATGTTGTGCATTAATTTATCAGATTATAAACCAAAACAATGAAGTGGAGGCTCAGATGCACTGCCTGGAAGCTACATCTGGTCTGTAGACATCTTCAAAAGGATAATTTGTTTGCAATACTAAAATTCTCAAATGAAGCCAGGCACCGTGGTATGCACTTGTAACTGCAGCTGTGCAGTGGAGGCAGAAGGGTTGTAAATCAAGGCCAGACTAGGAGATTTAGCAAGATGCTGTCTCAAAAAAATTTTAAAGGGGTTTGGGGATGTAGTACAGCATGCTCTAACATGCTCAAGGCCCTGGTTTCAATCCTCACCTGCAGAACTTTCAAATAAAAATCTAGACATCTGGCTTTGGGGAGAAAATCTATCCTGAGCCATATTCTCCTATTGCAATTGTCAGCTAGGAATGCGTAACAGCTGGCCTCTTGCAACAGAGAGCTCTTTCCACATTACCTGCTTTCTTTGCAACTCCTGAGCTTCTCCCCAGTGTACTACAGCCTCATCTGCCAGCTCTCTGGCCTCACATGGAACACAAATGCATGTGTGCAAACACTCACACACACACACACACACACACACACACACAAAGCCTTGCTATGTGAGTAACAATACCCTGAAAAGGAAGAAATTTCAGATGTCATTCTAAAAACATTACATGCTCTGATAATAATACACATACACTTCCCATACAGAAAATATACAAAGAATAAAATGAAAGAAAGAATGTTCAATCATCAATCATCTTGTGGCACAGAAATAATAGCTGTTACTACCTCAGAGTACATTTTTCTGCCTTGTTTCTGCTGCTACACTGAAGGGTATGCATGTGTAGTTTGGGTGGCCTTACCTCAAAGCCATTATTATTTTCCCTGGTGCTTACAAACATGGGATCTGCTTAGCAATCACATTTCCTAAAAGTAGAACTCATTTACTTCTAACTATTATTTGATACAGTATTACAGATACAGAATGTTGTACAGTGTTTTGATCTATTTAGAACTCACTACATGCATTGACGTCATATAACACTTTTAACTTAAACAGATATGAGCTTCTGAGAGGGCATGAAATGTGCTCTGAAAGTTCAGTAATAAAAGGTATCGCTTGGTTATGGCAGAGAGCAGCATGCTATCACTTGGATTTCAGAATCTCAGATATCTGTCACAACCAATCTCGGGTGAGAATGAATGTTGCCTGTCATTGCACTCTGTCATTTTCCAATGTTTGTACTGGAAAAGCCTTTGAGAACCTTCTGGTTATATGATAACAGCAAGAACCAAACTCCCCTTGGCTCTACCACCTCTGCAACCAGAGCTAGGTACCTTTAGACTTGGAGAAGGAAAGAGAAGTATACATGGACCAAGGTTAAGCTTTGGTCATCTCTCACTTTAGCCTTGCAGCTGGGGCTTATGTAAAAAGTAAGCTCATAGAATTACAACCATTTACAAAATCATGGTGATGTTTCTAGGTGCCCAAGTTTATGGAACTTTATGTTGCTTTGCCAGCTATTTCTTCCTGTGGAAACAAAGTCATTGGGAACTTAGGTTATTCCCAGAAGTATGTTGTGAAAAATAAAAATAAATTAGAAAAAAACTATAGAAATTGTTGAAGAGACGTAAACACTTGTAATTCCTTTGGTTTTAAATGTGATTGATAAGGTTCCAGAGATTCTTAAGATGCCCGGGACCAGTACAACCACTGTGAAGTCAGTATGGAGATGCCTCAAAAACCTGAAACTAGAAATTCCATTCAACCCAGCTATTTCCTTTCTAGGTATGTTCGCAAAAGAGAATATATCATATTACAGCGATACATGCATACTCCCATTTATAGCAGCACAATTCATAATAGTTAATTGTTGAAAGTAGCCTATATGTTCATCAGCAGATGAATAGATAAAGAAATGTGGTATTTATAGACTGTGGGAGACTGAAATTTTGATTATGCCCAAAGCAGGCTGTAAGCAGCGTAGGCTGTGAAGAGTGAACCCCACAATCGGCTTATTCTGAGAATTGAGTCCGGCCAAAGCCTACACGCCAAGGTCAGAGTAATTCACACCCAAATTCCATTCTCACAACTAAAACTTTCTTACTAGAAGGACAATGTTCTAATTACCATCGTATATTTTATCTATTCTGTTCCTAATTTGAGAATGCTT